TGTGGATGGTCATCGGGTTTTGATGAAGATCGCAAGCATTGGTTGTTATCGAAATGATTCCCTTTAACCCCGAATGATTTACTGATGTTATTTCGGTCATTCAAATTTATTTGCGTTTATTCGTATGATATCAAACGTCGAGTTTATTTGCTTAGGATACTAGTTTTAAATGGTTCCAAACTGTCATGTGGTTGATATTTAGTGGCTCCGTTATCTTTGAGGAGTTTGAGTTCGGTCTTGCTACACCAGGTCTAATATTTCATCGACATTTTTAATGATAAAAAAATGTGGATATTTTTTACATCAAATGGAAAGGAATTTGCGGAAATCGACTTAGCGGTGAATGAGTGCAAAATAAGTATATGTTGGCTACTAGTAGCAAGGTGCATCACTTGAGCACCAGTGGCTTGCGACTATACTTTAGTATTTGTCAAGGATTTTTTCTATTTTTGCAACGATTTTACAAACAACAACGATGTCAACAATATCAACCTGGAGATTAGATAAAGAATCACCATTGCCAATAGGTGTTACTATAGCTTAAAAGGCAATTGGGATGTAGTTTTCTCTTTCAACAAACAAAATTTACGCTATATAGATCGTTCAACCTGCCTGTACTGTTTTATGACGCAGAAAGATGGATGCTATCAGAAAATGATAAAACTGCTTTGGTAGCTTTTGAGAGAAAATTTCTGTGTAAGAACTTTAGTTCTCTATAAGTTGACGATGATGTCCAGATCCGAATGAATCACGAGCTGTGCGAGCGTTATCACGATGTTAGTAGATTTCAGCGAATTAATATTCAGCGACTTCACTGGTATGATCTTATCGTATGAATGGATGACCATGTTTTATTGAAATTAAAAATAGCTATCTAATGGCGTTTTCGATTGGTAAATCTTGGGTAATTCTTTCAATGCAGATGCTCTTTTAATGCCTTTTTAGTGGAATTTTATTTTCGATTGATAAATCTGGGTGAAAAAGTAAGACATTCGAGCTTAATTTATAACACTCTAGATATTAAGCTAGAGTAGCTTAATTGCTCTGAAATTAACAGCTGTTTTATATGATTTGACAGATAAACTATGATTTTATTCGTTATATATATTTGTAAAATGTATAAATATCTATTAAAACTACTACAAAACAATTGGATCACACTTAAAATATTCATTTGGAGCGCTAATCTAGATAAAATACAGATTTACCAATCGAAAAAGACATACAAATTTTAGAAATTTTAGAATTACAATATTAACTATATTTATTTTTTATATTAAATTATTAATAACTTTATACAAAATGTTAATAGTTTTTGTTGATGTCTTCACATAATCTCATTCACAAAATAGAAATTGCAAATAAAATGTTTAAATCAAAATACACTTGATTTTCTTCAAGTGTATTTTTATTGCATTCTTACCCCTCCCATTTTTATCGAGTTTATTATATTACCTCTCATACTCGAATACACACTAAATTACTTCATTATGACACATCTACGTCAGGATATTGACTTTGTTGTTGTTAATAGTTGACAGTTTTGTTGTTGTTGTTTCAATACAGCGAGGACAAAATGAAGAACAAAAATATCAAACACGAAAATTGTTAAAATACAAGCAAAACACAATCGCTCTGAAGCACGAATCACAAAATCAAATAAACATACACACATGCATACATGCAAGCAGACATATTTATTTAAAGTAAAATGAAGTACGAGTAGATGAGTACGTGTACATGTGTACAAGTGTGTGTCAATATAAATATTTAAAAATGAATAAATAATAAATATTGCATATAAAACTTTCACGTAAATGGATTTTTCATTTTAACTGCACAACTGCAATAATAAACTACAAAAATAATAAATGTGAACTGCAACAACAACTTGAATAACTTGAATAACAATATTAAATGTGAGCTGCAACAACAACTACAAGAATAAATAGTATGGACAACAACAACAATAATGTTGATGATTCAGTGCAATAACATGGAAGTCAATGTCAATTACTTCACTATTTGTAGGAAAAGATAAATGAGTAATAAATAATACCAGCAGACGAATGATAAGTTTGTAAAAAAAAGGAAAAGAAAAAGAAAAGAAAAAAAGTCAACGCATAAAAGACAAGCGACAAATTGCAAACAAATGAAAATTATATAAAAAAAAAAGACAAAGGAAAAAGTCTTATTTACTGCTGACCGTTTGAAAACGATAAAACGATTATGCCCTACAAGGGGGCAAGGGGTTTGTTAAGCGACTTCACAGGCGGCGAGCGAGGTCTTTGTACGTACGAAATGCGTTGTTTGTTGCGTTCTTTTTTTATTATTTACCGTGAATTGCACAAGTAAGTGAACGAAATGTAATTTGTATTGTTGTTGTTGTTGCATTGCCAACAACTCTTTTCTTTTCATTCTTTCTTTTGCATGTGTCATTTCATTTTTCTTTTTGTATATTTGTATTTGTTTTTGTCTTTGCTGTGTGTGAATGAAGTGTGCACGCTGTCGTATACTTAACGTCAATATTGTGTCTGTGCTAAAATTGAAACGCAGCTTAATCGCAGCGGCTAACGCCAACGCTAACGCCAACGCAAGATAATGTCTGCTGCTTAGGATTATTAAATTTTGTCAGAGAAATATATATGTTTTTGTTTGTTACAAATTCTGCTGCGACAGTTGCTGCTGCTGCTGCTGCTGCACGTAATATTGTTGCTGTCAAAGTTGTTTTTGTTGCGTTTGCGGCGTCCATTGTGTGCCTGCCAAGCGTATGCGAACTCGGTATTGATTATTTTTTAACATTAACTAACAAACAGACAATGCTCGCGCACACACACATATACATAGTTGCTTCCTATTAAAGATAAAATGCTTAATAGTTTGAAACTAAAACGACGAAGTCAATGAAATCGCAGTTGCTAACAAATGACGACATCCTGTGCGGAGCGGTGGCGACAAGGGTGGAAATAACACTACCAACGTTGGAGGTTAGTTAAGTAAGCTTGTGTGTGACGCTTTGTATGCATGTATAAGAGAAAATTTAAATAAAATTAAAAAAAAAGTTTACATATTAAATATTTTATAACTTAAGTTGCCTGCCTCTGTAATAAGCAGGCCGTTGATTAAATAATTCCAAAGAGATCTACCTTAACCGTGACGTTGCAAAATTTATAATAAAAAATTTTTGCTATCAAGTTAAAAGTAAAATAGTTTAATTGTTAAGTTTTTATGATTAAAAACAAATGCTATTACTAACAATAATAATAATGTAAAAACAAACAAACAAAAAAAATAATTACCGTCTGAAAATTGCTCTGACATATGGCCAACATTTTGAAGGTCAAAAACAGCTGATTATATAATTATATTATAATAACATAAAAATTCCACTAATGTAGAAAATTAAACTGTAAACTCTTAAGAAAAAACTTAATTAATTATGCCGCACACGTTTCTTAAACTTTAGCGAGCAAAAGTGCATAAGCCCAACGGCAAATTCTAAAGCAACACCTAAACAAACATGCGAGCCAACTCATTGCCACACCACCCAGTAGAAAAAGTGGTCTTCGAAGACATTGTCTTCAAGACGGTCTTTGATACCGCGTCCGCATTTTCAAGCAAATTTGCAAAACAATTGCTCAAAACATGAATATAAATACTCTTTCTTCGCTTTCTCTCTCATTTTTAGTGTTCATAGCAACGTATTTGAATTTTGCCTCAGATGACGCTATGTTTTATAAATGAAGTGACGCAATAATTTTGAAGTGTAGTAAATAAACATTTTTGTGAAATAAATATTAAAAAAATCAAAATGAATAAAGAAACAAAATCATTAAACTATGAAATATTAAAAAAAAAAGAAATTAAATCAAAACAAATTAAATAGTGACTTAGTTCCTGGAAAATATATTGATATTAATATTGAAGACAAAAATTCCAGTGAAAGTTCACACTTGTGAAAAATTAGCTGTTATATTTAAAAAACACAGGATTAACAGGCGTTGTGGTAATGATATTTTAGAACTCTTAAGATCAGAATGTTTAATTGTACCAAAATCCTCTTCAACGCTTTTGAAAACATATAAAACTTCAACAATTGATGATAGCGAAATGCTATAAATTATTTTATATTAGTTTTAGTTAATTTTAGATATGCTAAGTTATATTAAGTTAAATATTTAAATTAATTTTCATTATGTTTACATTAGTTTTTATTTTTAATATCTTAATAAAATTTATAATAATTTATAATAAAATTTATAATTTACTTTTAAAACTTTTAATTTTGAATGTAATTTAAGAAATTATTATATAAAATAAATAAAAGTACAAAATACAACAATTTCTTTTTACTTATTTAAAGAGAAAATTGAAATTCATTTAAAATTTAAAGAGCGCAATAAAAGAGTAGAAATAAAAAAAGGGTGAAAAAATTATATGAGCACTGCACTAAGAGCGCACAACTTTCTGTCGAATGCGTCCGTTATGCAAGACATGGTCTTCGAGACGGTCTTCGAGACATGTACACAAAAATTCATTGAAGACATTTGGCTAATTTGTATGGAAGTGTCTTCGAAGACCGTCATACATTTGGATCGATCGGTCTTCATGTATGTATCCATGTCTTGAAGACGTCTTCGATGACGGATCGATCCGTTTTCTACTGGGCACATACCATACACACCACACACATACGAACACATACGAACACATACGGGTGTACGAGTGTAGTACACTCACTGTTCAACACAGCTCCCTCACAGTGCATCTACCCACCTTCACGTTGTTGTTGTTGTTGTTGTTGTCGTATTGTCGTGTTGTCGACAATTGCTTCGCTGAGTTTATAGCACTAATGAAGACGTTGAGAAGATGATGCAGCATAATTACATACCACATATACAACGCCTGCAGCATCGCAAATGAGCACATAAAAAAATATGTATGCAAGCACACACAAACGCACAGACACATACACGCACACAACTATGTACAATATTTACCTTTGGTATTACGTCCTTATATCCTGTAGTTTGATTTTCTGTGACAGAAATTATTATTTTTTTTTTTTAATTCGCTGATAACTGCAATTTATTTATTTATTTATATTCTTTTGTGGCGTAATCAATACGTAAGTAAGTAAGTGTATTACTTTTTTATGTAATCACAATAAACGAGTATACACGCACTTGCCACGGAAATTGTTAGGCAGCCATATTTTATTTATTTTTTTATTTGTTATTACATTTCTCACGTCAACAATAATTGAGATTCCATTTAAAAATGCCCTTTTTAAATTATTAAATAATTATAGCTATTGTTAGAAAATTTTCTATTTTTTTCTATTTGATATAATTAAATTATAGCTGAACAGTTACAAACACTTTGCTAGACGTGTCCTGTGGTGCTATGCGCGCTACTAAATTTTCGCTTAATGTCCTTTCGCAATCTGCTGCAGCTTATGAAGTTTGATTTGACATTTTTTGTTTGCGTGCGGATGTGGACTGTGTTTCGGTAAATTACTGTGACAGTTGTGTCAACTTAACGAAAATTCTTCTTCGATGTTTTCATACTAAAAATTTGGTGTTTGTATGTACTAAAAGAAATCACATAGTACAGACACAAACCAAAGTTAGAGCTCAAACACCAAAGACCGTTTTATTTTGTAATGAAGTGAAATGAAATGAAAGAGCGTATTATTAAAAGGACATGAGAGGTAGTATAATTACTTAAAGACTATAAATCAAAAATCAAAATGGATCAAAAATGGATAAAGGCACTGGTGCTGGTGTATATGGACCAAACACCAGAATTTCGGAGGTGATGGGCACATGGCCCAGTGTCTTCCAAGCTGAAATCCACGCAATCAACTTATGCTTAAGCTCGAGAATTGTTGTTTACTTTGACTGCTCTTAAAACTCTGTCTTCTTGGACTTTCAAGTCAAAATAGGTCCTTGAGTGTTATGAGTTCCTACAGCCTTTTGGTCGGCTTGGAATAACGTAAGCCTTTACTGGGTTTCGGTCCACAGGAGAGTGAGAACTACATCAAAAACTGTTTTTACAGCCCCTCAACCTTTTGGTGGGATAAACTAGGCCAGTACAAAATAAATTATCAAGGAAAGTGAAAATCATATGCGGCTGGAGTACTGGGAGGACTTAGACAAAGTAAAGCACTGATAACACCGTACTCATGCCAAGACATTCTTAAGTTCTCAAAATGTAATTCAAGGTTAACGAGTTTCATTACAGGTCATTATGATCTGAAATATAACTTTCATAAACTACAATTATCTGCTAATCCGGAATGCAAAGTATGCCTCGAAGATGAGAAAACTACCATACATATTCTTTGGGACTGTCCAGCTTTAATAACGCACAGAAGAAAGTTGTTCCATATGGAATTTCTGTCACCACAACAGATTAAGAATTCTTCTCTAGATTTAGTTCTAGACTTTGTTCACAAAGCTTTAAGGCGCTTTGTGTAATCAATAGTGGAATTGGTACAATTGGACTATTCTGGTTGCAGTATCGTCTTTTGAGCGATTTCACGTTTTTTAAACTTTTAATAATAATAAAGACTATACATTCAAAAAACTTAAGAACTGATAGTATAAAACCCATCTGATAGTTATCAAAACCTTTGTTGTTTGCGCTGACATGAGAGACATTATAATTACTCATATCGTTTTTGATTGGTAAATCTAGGATAACTTTTTCTCCCGCAATTTACTTTTAGTACAGTTTTCTGATTTAAAGCTGATTGGTTAAAATCAGGCGAACATGGACGTACACTGGTAGGCGTACACGTCCCTCCTTAAACTTCAATATATCATTATTGTTTTAAATAAAAATTAAATTAAATATTATTTATAAGAAATGTGTAAAATTCGCCTTTTCAATCTCTTACTAATTTACATACATATATTTGACATACTTATATATCTTAAATAATAATTTTTTTAAAGTATATGATAACGTCATATCAGTAGACTTAACTTATTCTCAAATCATGTTGTCACTACTTACTAAATAATTTCTTAAGTAACTTTAAGATTTTATCGTTTCCATTGGCATAATTACTTATTGCATGTGAAAGAGCTTTTATATGTTAAAAAGTTCTTTGAAAATTTTAAGAGAACTTCTCTTTACTTAAAAAAATATTACTTAATAATATATCACATAAAAAATTAAATATATGTATAATTGATATATTAAATCATTTATATATATATAGTTTAAATCATTTATAAGTTACACTTGCTAAGTAAGCAGTAAAAACATACTATTAAATAACTTGAAAAGCACGAAAGCTTTTTATATCATTAATCGTATTTTATTAGAAACCTGAATCAAATAAACTCCTTTAATGAAGGCAATCGAAACATATTATTATGTTATTTGTCAACTGAAATATTGTATTTTCTTCCAAATTCAAACTTTCAAATTAAAATAAAACAAAAGATCAAAATCTGGCTTTAAGAAGACTAATTAAGATTCCTTGGTATATTAGAAGAACAGAGATGCATAGAGATCTAAAGATGGACTCAGTGAAAAAATATATCAAGGACAAAGCCCTAAAAATATTCACAAAAGTGGATACGTTGCTGAACCCCGCCCTAACAAACCTTAAGTCCACCTCAGGACGCATAGGAAGATATGTTGATCTACGGTCCGTCATCAGTTAAAAGATAAATAAATGATAATAATTCTAGTATAGTTAAAGCATAGTGTAGGGCAGCCCCTAGCCACAAAAGTGCGCAATACCACTAACTCAATCCACAACAACAACAATAGAAGAACCTGAAAAAGAATAAAATAATAAAAAAAAGGCGGTGCTGCCTTGTCAAGGTTTTCATATCTGTCAAATAAAGTTGGGAGTACCCTAAACATTTTCGATAGTGCTACAAAATTTCAGTAAACAATGACAGATTGAGAGTAAATCTAGATTTTAGAATTGAAAACTACATTAGGGACCACAAATCCAATTCAAGAAATTTAAGAAGTTATTAAAAATACGATGAAATTATAAAAATATTGGGACCTTTAAGAGATTAGGAAAGATTATGAGCCACTCTCAAAATAATAGAAAATATAATGAAGTTATCAAAATAAAATATTGCAATGAAGTGGTTTGTGTATATAATCAATAAACATAGAAAATGGCAAATTTTAATAAGAAGTGGATTGTGTATATGGTAAACAAGCACAATGTGGTGAGTATAATCAGCTTTCACGTAGTGGCATTGTAAGCAAGATACATAAAACATACACAACTACATACAAATATTATACAGACATATATATTCGTCATCTTTCACAAAAGCTGCATTTTCAGACCTAGAAATCCTGCCATGGGACATGAAAGTTTCAAAGCTTATATCGTTCTTAAAAATTTGAAGCAAATAACGTAATTTTACGGTCTTTTCAATAAATCGTCTTTCGTGCATGGAATAATACGGACTTCGTTTTTTAAAAAAATAATCTTGTTGTAAAAAGTGAACTAATATTCACCACTTCAGAGTTAACGATGATCAGTCCTTTACGTTGTTCTAGACGCCCCATGCTATCCTTGCGAAAAATTGTGAGAATTAATTTTGGTTTATTTATTTTTGTTGCCTGCCACATATGATGAACTCCGTAGATTTTTGTTGTTAAATTGACAAACAATTCAACAATTTTTTTGGTATTCAGATCAAAGCCAGATCAATCGATTAACTTCTGATATCTCTTGAGTCCAATTTGGTATATATAAATATCAAAGCTAGACGGCTATTATTTTGTAAACATACATATTATGGTTTTTTCGCATTAATATGATGAGTTATTGTAACTCTTGCAAATCTTTAAGTCAAATATAGAACATATTAGAGAGAAAAATGGACTCATAGAATATAACAGATTTTGATTAAATTCTTGTACTAATAATTAGAATAGCGGGAACTACTTTTTCATGTTTATTGTGTTGTATGTATAAAACCTATTCTTCACAAGCGTCTATTTTAATATTGGAAAGAAGGTTTTCTATTATATGTTATAAAAACAATGTAAAAATTAATATATTAATAATATTAATATTCAATAATAATATTACATATTATTAATATTATTATTATTATATTAATATTATTATATATTAATAATATAATTGTAATAATTATATTAGAATTAATTTTCTCAGCACTACAAAGTATAATAGAAAGGTTTTGTTCTTTTCTGATAAATACAAAGCTTATATATAATATTAATATGTTATTAGACTCACTTTAAAACCGCAGGGTCATAACATTTGAAATAAAATAGTTATTGTCCACAAAAATTGATACCTACTAACAATGATCAATTGACATGATAAAATCAGATGGGCAGTTAATTCTTTCAGTCCTTTCAAGTCACCAGGAAGTGATGGTATCTTCCCGGCACTTATACAAAACGGCATAGACGTTCTTATCAATCCTTTAAAGGTGCTTTTTAGGGCTAGCCTTTGCTGGAAACATATACCTGAAGCTTGGAGAGAAGTGAAAGTGGTATTTATACCAAAAAATGGTAATAGACCAAGTGATGACGCTAAATCGTATAGACCGATTAGTCTCTCATCCTTCCTCCTGAAAACTATGGAAAGACTCATAGATATCTATATTCGTACAGAACTGTCTAAAAGTCAACCTCTTCACAAAACTCAATTCGCTTATTCCAAAGGGAAATCTACCGAATTGGCCTTACATAACTTGGTCAGTAGAATTGAAAAGGCCCACAAAAACAAAGAAATTGCGCTTTGTGCATTTCTGGATATTGAAGGAGCTTTCGACAATACGAGTTATGGCTCGATCTCGAATGCCTTAACTAACAGAAATGTTGATTTTAATGTTATTTCCTGGATTGAGGCGATGCTTCAAAGCAGAAAAATTACATCAACCTTAGGTAGAACGTCTGTAGCTGTTGAGGCCGCAAAAGGTTGCCCACAGGGTGGAGTACTGTCTCCTTTGCTCTGGTCAGTGGTTGTTGATGAACTTTTAATCTTGTTGGAGAATATTGGTTGTGACGCCATTGGGTATGCAGACGATCTAGTTATAATAGTATCTGGAAAGCATGGTAGGAGTCTATCAGAGATATTGGTAGGGCACCTTCGACGCATTTTAGCGTGGTGCGAAAGTGAGGGTCTCTCCATAAATCCGGAGAAAACTGTTGTTGTGCCTTTCACACTCAAACGTAAACTAGACATAGGTCCCGTACGTTTAGGAAACACTAATATTTCTCTTTCCAGTGAAACAAAGTACCTAGGTGTTGTCCTAGATGGTAAACTCACTTGGAGTTCACACTTAAATAAAGTATATAACAAAGCATTAACGGCTTTATGGACAATACGGTCCTGTATAGGTAAAACTTGGGGCCTAAACCCAAAGATTATATTTTGGATATATCAGGCAGTAGTACGTCCTATCATGACATATGGT